GCGGTCTTTTGTACGTTGCTGTTGGGCCCTCCGCTGTCGCTGCCTTCCGACACGCTGACTCTGCACATCGGAGAGCACTCGTCCTTTACATCAACGCCTGGACCACTCAGACCGTGTGCGCTTCACCCTTCTGCCTTTTCGTCAACATCGGCGGAATCTCCTCCGCGAGCCTGGCAACCGCTACCACGGTATCATCACGAAGCGCGACTACAAAAGTGGCCACAAGCGACGACGCCCTTTGGGCACGATACGGCTGCGAAAATGTGTCACTCACTTCCCGCCCATTCACAGGTTGGTGCCTTACCATCTAGCTACCGAGACGACGATGTGTTCGTGATTGCGGTATCGTGCCCACCCACCGTATATGAGTGCATGCTCACTGTTCGGTCGAAGTTTGCGGCCGTAGCATCGAAAGTGTCTCTTGGCATAAACCTTACAAGGAAGCTACTTCTCTTATCAGGGGACGTGGAATCTAACCCTGGCCCTGTCACGGATACCCATGATTCTAACGCTCCATTGGACCAAATGCTTACCCTTTTAAACAAGCTTACTGCTGGCCAGGCAGCAATAATGACTGAAATCAAGTCCCTACAATTAAGACAAGAAAAAACCGACTCTGTTTTAGCAACCCTGAAAACCAAAATTGACGACATTGATCGGGAGGTTTTGAGCTTCAAACCAGTCAAGGCGGACGTCACTGCCATTTCAGCGGCTACCTCGCGAAACAGCTTCCCGCTTGAGAAAATTGCTCAAAAGTGCCAAGAGCTTGAAAGTCAGTCGAGGCGTAATAATCTGATGTTTTTCAATATCGAAGATGGCAGAAGTGAGACGTGGAAACGGTCTGAGGAAAACGTCCTTGCGTTCTGCGAAGAAATGCTTGGCGTTAAGATAGAACCTTGCTCGATTTAACGTGCCCATCGAATTGGTTATTACAAAGATGAACGTAACTCGTACAGGCCAATCATTGGCACATTTAACTCCTTCAAAGAAAAGGAACTTGTCCTTTCAAAAGCACCTAAACTGAAGGGAACGGACCATCGCTTGAGCGAGGATTTCACCGAAGAAGTTCGAAAGGCAAGGAAAGAACTCATTGCCTTCGCAAAGACTCAAGGAAAGGCCTTTAAACCACGACATGATAAGCTTATCATGGGAACCTCACGTTATTATTTTCACACCGAGACCGGTTGCGTAAAACCAACCCCAGCATAGCTATTTAAAAAATCCAAGTCACCCCCATCAGCCCAAGTGCGTCAACCGCCACCTTCCTGAAATTTAAATTTCTTTATCGCAAACGCGAGAAGTTTGTGCTCTAAACAAGAAGAGCTACCTTCCGCTGCGCAATCATATACAGCTGACGTGGTTGTGTTCAGTGAAACGTGGCTCACAGAAGATATCCAGAACTCTGAATTAATTTTGAACGACGATTTTTCTATTTTTCGGAAAAACCGCACTGAGCGTAAATGGGGAGGGATTTTGATCGCGATAAAAAAGTGCTTGCGTGTTGAAAACTTTAATATCATTCCAAGTTTTTAAGGCGTGTGGGTCAGAATAAAAACGCATGGTGTTTCTTTTATAGGTGATTGCCTGTTACAAGCCTCCCGGGCTTCTTGATCTTTCCCCTTTACTTCACGAGTTTATGGAACTGCTTGTTAGAAATTACCCAAAGGTTATGTTTGTGTTGGCAGGAGACTTTAATTTTCCTGACATTGTTTGGCTGACTTTTCCCTCCTCTATGCCCTTTGAAAGCTGATTTACTCTTCTTAAACAAAGTTGAGATTTTGTGGATGTAACGCGCGCATTCTCACTTTGTCAAATTATTAGTGAGCCGACTCGCGGCTCTGCTGTTTAGATGTTTTCTTTACGTCAAAACCTGAGCACGTAGTGAGTGTTCATTTTATAGAACCATTGAGTGATCACGTTTCTATTAATGTTGAAATGGCAATCCCTACGCAGAAGCAAATTCCTTTGATCAAAACCATCTCGAATTATTCAAAAGCAAATGGTGATGAAATCTGCATGAATTTAACATTATTTTCGGATCTGTACCTAGCTGACTTTGGTTGTAGATCGGTTAACGAAAATTGGTCGTTACTTAAATATAAATTACATGAACTAGCAAATTCATACATTCCCAAAATAACCATTCAGATGTGTGTTGAAAAGCCTTGGTTTTCGGCATGGTTGAAGAGACTACTGAATAAAAAACAGCGGCTCTACAGGATTGCCAAGCTTTCTCAGTCTGTAGATGCATGGGAAAGATGGAACCAATTTCAACAAACGTCTAAATTCGAAATAAAAAACGCGAAAAAGAAATTTTACAATGAGGATCTTGGTAAACTTATGAGAACCAATCCCAAAAAGTTCTGTTAACCCAAAACAAGGTAAAGAATGTTTCCCTTTTACTGATGCATCCGGAAATGAGATGACGACTGCTGAGACACGCGAACAGTTCAGTCGGTATTTCAAGGATATTTTTTCCGAGGACCAGTTTCCTCTACCAGACTTTGATTCAGACGATAATAGTTACGAAGAAATGGCCCCTTTAACTATCTACGCATCTGGCGTTATGAAACTGATTGACGACCTACCATCGAACTCGGCACCAGGCCCTGACAAAATAACATCAAAGCTACTGAAACTTCGTAAAAACGAGTGTGCATCTCTTCTTTCCTTGATTTTTCAACAATCGCTAGATTCCGGCAAAATACCCGACGACTGGAAGCATGCTCAGGTGATTCCAATTTATAAAAGTGGTTCAAAGAATGAATTCTCTAACTACAGGCCAATATCTCTAACAAGTCTACCCAGCAAACTCATGGAACACATAATATTTTCAAACATACTGAACCACTTATGCTCGCACAACTACTTCTTTGTAAACCAGCACGGTTTCCGGAGGTCCCACTCTTGCGAAACACAGCTTTTTGAGTTCGCTAATGATATCCATGAAAACCTGCACTCTCGCACTGAAACACATGCCATCTTCATTGATTTCCAGAAAGCGTTCGACAAAGTGCCTCATCACCGCCTCATGTTAAAGATACGTTCCTTGAAAATAGATCCTTTTGTTTTCGAATTGATCTCAACTTTTATTTATAACCGTACACAAAGCGTTCATTATTACGATAAAAATTCTTCACAACAAAATGTCAAATCGGGTGCGCCCCAGGGAACCGTGCTGGGTCTTTTGCTTTTTCTAATATATGTAAATGACTTGCCAAATTGCATTCGGTCCACAATTAGGTTATATGGCGATTATTGCGTGATCTATCGAGAAATAGAAACGCTAGATGACTGTGCACTTTTGCAGGGCGACTTGACATGTCTCGGAACATGGTGTGAAGAGTGGCAAGTGAAAATTAATGTTTCCAAAACAAAATTTCTGAACTTTAATACCAAACGTACATCAACCCAGTTCAGCTACACTATATTCAACTCGTCGATTGAAAACGCTCGAACATACAAATATCTTGGGGTTCACTTCAATTGCAATCTTTTATGGGAGCCTCACATAAATTACATTAGTGCAAAGGCTAACTAAACCCTCGGTTTCCTGAAGCGACACCTCTACCTTGCAACATGGGACACTAAACTGATTGCATATTCATCTCTCATTCGACCCAAGCTTGAATATGCATCTGTCATCTCTAATCCGCATCAGTCATATTTAATCGAGAAGTTAGAAGCCATACAAAGCCGAGCTACTCGCTCCATACTTCGTAACTACACCCGCACAAGCATTACAGCATTAAAACAGTACCTTGCAGACCGTCGGAAAATGTCACGGTTGATTGCCCTGCACCAGCTGTACTACCATTCGCCATCTAAAAAAGATAAGTATATTAGAGCCGCCATCCACATCTCCTCACGCACAGACAACACGCAGAAACTTCACGTCACCACTCCTAGGAGTATATAGCATCTATAAGTTTTCCCCTTTACAGCTGTCTATTACCGACTGGAATTCACTTCCCGATAACATTGTAACAATAGAAGAGCCCAGCACGTTTCGAGCCGCACTTCCCGCCCTTTACATGTAATTAACCTAAACTGTTTTTGTGTGTGTGTGTTTTCTTTGTGAGTTTTAATATATATTGCTGTTGGTCCCCCCTTATGTAAAGCCCCCTGAGGGCGATATAAGGGTACATACAATAAATGAAATGAAATGTTTCTTGGAAGATGGGACTGTGTCAGGCGAGTCTGTGAGCATATGCACTATTTTTTTTCTCTATCTGCATCTGCTCGACGAGTTCTGACGCTCCTTACAACGCTCGAGCTTTGGCTTGTTCCGATATTTCAGCTGAGGTGGAGTGAGCCGCTTTGTATCCTGAAATTAAATTATATTTTCAAGTGGAATCTACCTCTTCCTTACTGATTCGTCTGATTAAATTATGAGTTTATGGTGTTTTTTAGCAGGTTTTTTACTTATTTCGTGTGTTTTAGCGTGTCGTTGTAGCTTATTGTTCTATTTTGCTTCATGTTGCTCTTGAACGGAAGTCGTCGACAGGCGTTGATTAGTTCCCAAGCTGGCGGTGGTTTTAGGAAGTCGGGTTAGTGATTCGTCGGTTGGTTCAGGAATATGGGAAAAGCCTCGTACTGGAGCCTTGTGTTCAAGTCTTGTTGGTCCATCCCGTGCACTTTAGCTATATAAATATATAAGTAGAAGATCAAGCAACAAACGTAAGAATCGGTTCCTGAAGTTGTTGTGGAAAGCATTTTGACATCAGGACAGTGTACCAGAGCGGAACCGCGACCTTAATTATGTCGAAACAAGCGAACCCTTTTTTGGCGACGGGGGAACACGAACCTACAAAATGACAGGAGCAGTCGTCGTCAGACAAGTCTGCGACCATTCTCCTCGAACTTCAGACGACGAAGGCGACGGGAGAAGCACCATGAGTCGTCGAGCATCTCCCCGAGGACAGCTGACGTAAAACAGCGTCCCGTCATCTGCGCAGTCTGGGCCAGCCATAGGCGTGCTATCTACGGCGCATTCGAAACCCGAGTCAACCCCCCGCCAGATAGAAGAAAGAAGAAAAAAGGAAAAACATCTAGTCCTCTTCTAGCGCTTCACGTCGGAGCAGATCATCGGGGGGACTTTGGGGCCCTGGACATTCTTCACCGATACATCGATATGTCCACCTATCGCCGGTCCTTTGTTTCTACAGTGCTTTATTTGTACCTGTTTGCCGAACTCGATGCCCTTAGGACCTGTCCTGACCGATGCATCTGCGTCGGAACCACAGTACGCTGCATGTTTCTCAAGTTGCAGACTCTGCCAAGAGTTCCAGAAGACACCACTGTTCTGTGAGTCTATTATGTTTTTTTTTGTTTTTTTTGCCAATTTACGAGTTATGCATCTATTTTCTGCGGTTCGTGCTTTTCCCTAATCTTGAACTGATTTCATATCACCGATGATAGCCTAGAGAACGAAGCCGAGCCGCTTAAACAAACACTATATATATCCCAGACATCACTTTTTTTTATTTTATAATATTTAACTTTGAGTAATTTTTAGTTTGTTCGCATGTAGTAAAAGTAGACAGTATGCAGACCATTCAATTCTCGTCAACACAAAAAAAGAAACCAACAAAACCTAGTTATCCCATCATCTTTCTATTTCATTTTCTATCAAAAATGGATTAAACGTTTTGTGAGAAAATGTTTCTTATTTTAGAAGTGAATAGGAGCTGTCGAGTGTTTCGGGAGAACGTTATAAGGAAATATATTATGATATATCCTCCTTTGCACGCTAGACGAATCGGTGAAACGTTCCAGAAGGGATCCTCAGTGTTCTTCGGGGCCAATAACAGTTCCACGGCGACTAAATATTTTGTTTATATTACTTCTTCCCTGTCTTTCCTGTGTCTTTATTTTACTTCCTTTTCGAGCAGGGGGTGTCGTGTATACTACTGGCGATTTCTTCAAATATATAATATGTTCACAAACCCTGCGTCTACTTTCGAAATGCAACGTCGGCGAACCGGTTTAAAATATTTCACAGATCAAAGCAGGATATAAATCACTCCTAAATATCTATATAAAATGTTCGGTCTGGAGTGCGCTACGAGGTGTAGTTCAGTACAAATCAAGATTCATTTGGCGACCCAGAGGAGAGAACTAACGCACGTGCTCGACAGCACCACACAAGTCGAGCTGTTTCTAACCACGATGATGTCACAGAAATATGAGAGCAATGTCAAGGTGTTTTAGAAGATGATAGCCACACAAACAAAAAAAAAAAGAAAGAGCAAAGCCGGAGTTAAGATTAAAAAAAAAAAAAAGATTTTGGCAACTTCAGCAGTTTCTTTCAAGAGCAGATCGCCGACCATGGTTGTGTAACGGTCGCCAAAAATCCCTGGCCCTGAATTCGCGAGTTGCGCAAGGTCGTAACAAACGAGATAGGCTTCCAGGGCTGCTCGGTCCTCCCCTACATTTATATTTCATTTACCGTTTTCTTTCTAATGCTCTTCGAGGTTACATTATGCGAGCAATCAGTAATACGTAGTACGAGTTAAATATGTTTATTTGTAATCTGATTACACGATCAAAGACACTTAGCTTCCGTTTTTTCTTTATAATCTATTAACACAATTTGATGCCTATCCTACTTTGTTCGCTCGTTAAATTATAACTGTCATATAAAAAACAACGCAGAAATTTCGAGTTTTCTTTTTCTGAATTGTCCCAGCTATCCTGAGCTATTCTACAAGAGGATAAGTTAAAAATTTTCTTTATTCCATAGGCCTTGTCAGCGCTAACCACCCAGGTGAAAAATGCCGAGTCACTGGGCTCTGGACGCATGCGCGGAGTGTTATGTTTCGTAGAGCACAACAACTGCGCACGCCCAGAACGCATTCCACTGCCCAGTACACAAAGATGGCGGCGCGCACAAGGCGATTATTAGAAAGGTCTACACGATTTCGTGGTGAAGCACATGTGTGTTCTTGCAACAATAGTAAACATTCGAACACGACCATGTCAGAACCCTATCAAGTGAACATTTAAGTGTTAAAACAACCGCCCCTAGCTGTCCCCAAGCTTTATTACTCAAGGAACTGGCATGTCATAAGATTAATAATTTATTATAACGTCTATCTCTAGGAGCTAGAAGATTCGCCTCTCAGAAGGATAAGGAAAAAAACGTAACTATGTTACATGTACCTATATTTAAAAACAAGACATGTTAGTTATTTCTTTCATTTCTTCAGATCCCGAAGCACGCATATCATGCACACCATTCCAATTAAGCCCGATAAAACGGTTCTTGTATACTTTTTTGACGGGCAATTAAAATACTTTCAAAGGCCCTCCGGACAAACTCTTTCAAATAATAGGCAAACAAGAGCACGCCAATGGGCATGTGAAGAGTCGAAATCACGGCTTAAGTCGTCGGGTCTTCTAAGTTTCTCGTTTTGGAGTCGTTTTAACTTCCCGTGAACGTGGGTATGAAGGTCCCCAGAACAACTTTAAAAATTCTCCAAATGAGCTCGTCATTTCGACTCCACGTGTGCCCAATTCCATACAGGTTGAACTATTTTTTTGCTTGTTTTATTGCAGTGGTTTTTAAGCACTAACGTTTCGGACGTCTAGAACAACAGAAGTGATGGGGGACCCCATTAACCGAGAGGGAGGAGAGGGCAACGGACGAGAAAAAGAACAACAATAGTCAGCACGAAAAAAAAAACAAAAAAAACTAAATGCAGGCGAACCAACTTTGAGGCCCTGAATCGGAGATTAATCAACGCTTCTCACTCAGTGCACATTGCAGAAAAATCAGCCGGGATCAATTTAAAAAAAAAAAAAAGAGGTTTTACAGCTCGGCTTGATTGACGGTCCAAGGATTTGGGGACCCCAAGAAGGCTTTTGAAGATCCCCATTTGAGAACAACTGACTTAAATGCCGACGTACACTTCGCGCTTTCCACTCTTGCCCGTTCCCTCCTTTCCTAAATCATCTCCACTTTTTACCTTGCCCAAACTTGTCTCCCTCGCAGCTTAGGAGAGGAAAGTGCTAGGAGGATTATCTTCCCTGCAGAAGCCCAAGGTTGTACGTCGGTCTTTAAGAGAATGGTATTGAAGTTTTTTAAACGCCCGTAAAAGAGGGATATGAAATAGTTCGCGTTGAATATTTTGTGTGTTATTAAATTACGGCCCCAGTGGACTCCAGGATTTAATGGAGACAAACAAGCAGCGCAAAAATCGTAACATCGCGGTGCTCGTCCTATGTCTCTCTTTGGTATTTATAGATACACAAATCCTGCACTTTCATTTCACGTTCCTAGTTGGTGACATCCCATGAGAGCAGGCGTACAAAACGACAAGCGCCGCGGAGGTAGATTTTTTTTTTTTTTTTTTTTTTGTCGCTGCCGATTGTTTTTATTGGATCGTAGAATCGACTGCGGTTGCACTTGATGTGAAACGTGGGGTACATTACATCGACGTAAAACGCAAAAACGCCAGGTATAATACACCTTTAAAAGCTCTGTCACATAGTCATGTTTAAACCTCTCTCGTTCGATTGGGTCACTACTTTAATGCCACATGATCCCTCTTGTTTATCTCTTATTTTTTTTTTTACCTTGACGCTACATCAAACGGACAACCGAAAAAAGCGACCTGAGGTACAACAACATCCGGGAGGTTCCAGCACGAAGCTTCGAAGACCTCGAACAACTGGAAACACTGTAAGAACAATTGTCTATCGCCGTTACAAAGAGGATTCAGTTGTTTTTGTTCTTTCGATGTTGATTTTTTATTTAACTTGAAACACTTCTAAATGATCGTTTTTTTTTTTTCACAAATGCAGTGTTTTACGTTGTACATTTTCGGTGTCGGTGAAACTTTTTGTGTTTATGGGGGCCTATGTCGAAGAAAATAGGAAATGGGATAGTGACTACTCAACCTACTACGCCTGAAGCACGGATTTGGCCCGAATACTTCGAAAACGACCAAGTACCGATGACAGAGGGAATCGAGGAATCGAGACAAAAGGTGTCATTTTTAAAGAAAGCGGTAGCTTTGCGGACATTTCCATGTGGCCTGCTTTCCGGGTCAGTTCAAAAGAGAACTGTAGACGGAAAGCTACTTCTCGTGAAACTCGGGATTTTTTTTCTTATCGAGGACAGCTCCAGGTTGGGGTTTTTCTTTTTAACCCGATTTTGATAAAGCCGCCGCGGAGCGTGTGTTTCAAGAGGATCACTATGCGTACCGAAAAAAAAAAAAAGTTATAACTGATTTCTTAACGCACAAGCCCAAAACTGCTTTCGCAACACTTCGACGACGGCGTCTTAGATGGCGCTAACTACTCCAGGTGTAATCATTTTGCCGGTAGAGAGCACTTCGTCAATCGCTTGTGTCGCTCTACATATCTTATTGTTTCTGCCCGCGGTTGAGTGTTTGTGTACAACCACAGACGCTATTTTTGGCGTCGATACTGGGGTTGGCCTCTTTGGTCAAGCAGCGACGACGGGTTTCACCGCCGACGTAGCATGTATTGTAAAAGCTTGGTCTGCTGGGCAAGTTGGTAGTCTATCGTGCTTAGTGCATGGCTATCGCCATGCACTAAGCACGTGCATGGCGATAGCAAAGTTGGAAGCTTTCAATAAAGTTTAGTTGCCAGTTAGCGTTTGTCCTGTGTGCTTCTTCGTCTTTTTGTCCCGTCTCTTTTGCGCTATTTTTAATATGAATGACGTAGCATGTTTCACCGACTGCACATTTCTTCCTTGAAGCACGTGTCAAGTCGGTGGGCCAGGCGCAGCCAATTACAGTTGCACGAGAGATCGTTACTGAGTTATGTTTTCACCATTGCCCCTTCTGATCTGGACGAGCATCGCACAGGCGTGCAGTTGCGTCCTTGCTCATGTATAACGCGCGTTAAAATACCGAAATTCAGCGGTCGTACACTATTGACAAAATTCCCCCCCCCCCCCCTTGTCCCCCTCGTTTACAGCGAGGATACTACATGCCGTTTTAAGGCAATCTATAAGTCTAGGGTTGTTCGTTTTCGGGTAAAACCCGATTTTATCCGATGTTTACATCCCGAACATGTTTCACGAGAATCGGGTTAAACCCGATTTCTCCCCGAATTCCAAGGCCACATAAGCAACCCTTTTATTTTTACGCCGCACGGAGTTTGCGGTGCGCACACGCTAGCTACCCTACCTCGGGACAACAGTGACCTCTAGTAGTTCATTTCGCAAGCTGCGTACAGCACTGTGGACGCTACACGACTCTTAACCAACCACCCAACGAGCGCGCTTAATTCACCGTGACATTCTACGGAGGTCGGCTAAAGAAAGGCGACAATAGGCATTGGGGCCTCGGAGGAACAGTTCCGTCCACCCGCTGTGCACGCAGTTGGGACAGCGTCGGCACGGCCACGTAGCTTCGGCCCTGCTGCACGCAGCTTGTGAAATGCACTATCTATCCCGCTTCGACCAGTGAGGTGTCGACGACCCGCCTGGTCTCTCGGGTAGCATGGCCATCTCGCTGGCGTTCAACCTTTCTCACGAACAACGTCCGAGCCAGTCAGTGGCGTAAATAGATCGAGAAAACTTAACACGTTTTTCCCATAGCGAAGTATCTGATCGGAGATTACTGTCCCTTGAACGGCCAGGGTTTTTGTTGACACATGAGGGAAAGGAGAATTCTGTGGGCGGTGCTTCCCTTGAAGCGACCGACGGCAATCAAAGCTGGAAACGCCGTTTGTAGTAAATATATATATATATCGTAACACGCTCCGCTAAAAAACAACGATTCTATTACTGAGTAGATTTGTTAATTTAACCCGAAAAAAACCCGAATTTTGGAACGTTTCCACCAAAAACCCGATTTATTTCCGATTACCAGCTTGAAAAATAGCACCTGAATTTTACCCCCCGAATTTAAAAAGAAAGATATAAAACCCGAGAGCGAACAACCCTATCTATAACCTATTTCGTAATAGCAGCCGGCGGGGTACGATGAATCGCGTCAAGCAGGGGTAAAATTGCATCGTAGCAGAACTCGTCGACTTTCTGCGTTTTGCTATCACTACCTAAACAAATTGCTCAGAGTGACAACACCGTAAGCATACCTGTTTTATTTTTCCCACTTTTTTTAAGTTTTGGCTTAGCACGTGATGTTTAGCGCACAAAGGTGACGATCGCCGTGACGAGGCTCTTTTCGGTTGGAACCCCCTGATTGGCTTGATTAGGGAGGGGGGGAGGGGGGTTACCGCGAGCCACAGTGATACACCTACTGCCCCTCATTGCGCCTTAGAAAAGCGCAATCCACGATAACGCCAAACATTCGTGGAAAATATGAATGTGTCAACAGGACCGATAACGGTGAATTCTAATGAACACCGAAGGAATAAGCATCAAACGAGTAAGTTTTATTTCAGTAAATCAGCGCGCTTTGTCAGGAGTGAAAAATAAAAACCCGAACAATTTGTAAAGTGACCGTATAGAGATATGACTTAATGTAATCTTCAATTATATAGTAGAATGCAAAGGTTAGTGACCACGGATCATAAAAAAAAAAAAAAACACCTAGGCCCATGTTTATGGACTAGCCTTTTGCATCGATTAATTTCTGATGTAATCGCATTGCCGTAGTTGTCTTTTAATTTAAAAAAGGAGGCTACCTAGAATTCATACTGCTACAACAAGTATGATTATTGCTGGAGACGGCTTGTTTCCGGTTTATTTTTGTAGGTACTGAGACATGTTATACTTTCAAAGGCCGTCATAACGTAATTAAGTGAGTGGTGCGCGATCAAATAAAATCTTGTAACTGGATTATTGATCTATTTTCAGGCTCTTGAACAACAACCAGATTCGCCATATCGAAGGACATGGTTTTGAGGGACTACGGAATCTCAGACATTTGTGAGTTCTTGTTTTAATATATATTTCTTATTAAACTATTCTTTCATTACTCGCCCTCAAGCTCAAAAAAGTACAGTCAGTTTGTTTGCTTGTGTCTTGGGGGGGGGGGGGGGGGGGGGGGGAAGGGGGAGTGGTTGGTTATGAACAGTTAAATACATGCACATTATTCGTCAAGTTCTGCGAAGTAACGAAAGATTAATGCAAAGTGTTCTCTTCAGGTCACGAACATGAATTTGGAACATTGTATATATATATATATATATATATATATATATATATATATATATATATATATATAACTAAACACGGTGATATTAAGAAATATAAATCTGCAAACATGAAGTAAATATTCCTTGAATATATGCGCTTTGTTTACTTGTGTTTCCTGTTTTGAGAGATACCAGTTTTGGGTAGTAGAAACAGAAACATTTTTTTTGCCGTTTCTGCACCAACACACAAATTCTGTTTACAGTCGCGAGGTGACCATTTTTGTTAAGAAAATAAATTAGGAAGCGAATATTAAAAGTTACTTTCGCCAGTAATCTAAAACAATAGTGATTTTTTTATCAAGAAACTGGAATCCGTAATTATTTTTCACATAAATTTTCCAGGTACATATTCAAGAACAGGATCAAGTACTTGGACGAGAACAGTTTCGCGGGACTCCAAAGCCTCGAACAGCTGTGAGCAACAGTCGGGATTCTTTTAATTAGTAAAAGGGATTTATAATGCTAAACCTTCCATCGATGTTTGGAACTAAACCAGCAGTCACACACACAATTTTATTGAATGTTCACTAATTGATAGCCAATAATATTTTGCAACGATCACCGACACCAATGGTAGCCTATTTTTGACGCACGAGTAAACCTGCAGACGTTTCAGGATCATGTGATATTTTACTTTTGCTTTTAATATATAGATCGTTTATACGTCGTTTATGTCATTTTTAAGAACAATGGCAATAAAAGAAGTATCTGTCGTGCCTGCTGCCACAATGCCCCCCAGAATTAAAAGCGCAAAGAAATACTGAATATAGGATACGAGTTTGAAGCTTTCTATTCTTTCTGATGAAGTATTCGTGCATTTTATTCACTCTAAGCATGTTTTGTTTCGAGACACAGCTACAATTTAACAAAAGTGTATTTTTGTTGGAATATTGGATCTATCAGCGATCTATTTTGTTACGGCTGGAAAGATACCGCTGAAACTAAACATAAGATAAGAAACGATTCGCAGCTTAATGTTTCCAATACGTCCTACATAGAAACTTCTTTGATGTCCATATTAAATGACGCAGACATAAGCCTTACTGAACAGAGTTAATACACGCACGTGAAGTTTCTTTTTTTTTTTCTAGTTATACTTGCGGCTTTTTAAAGTTAGTTTTGACTGATGTGCACATGCTCATTTCTATAAACGAAAATCTGGAAGTTTATTTTTTTTTGTTAAAGATTTCCTTTTCAGACTGCTCAACAGTAAGCACAGTCAAAACATCGGTTTTGAGAGGCAAACATCGGTTTTTACGACATATAGGATGCGATGTCTCTTTTATATCTTTGCCCAGCATCCGCAATAGGTGGGATGCCTCAATTTGTTTTATAGAGCCTTACATTTCCAGCAGAACCATCAAGTATGTCGTATTGCCAAAGAATCATCAAAGTTCACCCTTTCATCAACGGATTTGCATCAGCAAGGCCATCCTCCATTGTACTGAAATCATCTTAACCATATCATCCTGAAGGAATCGTCCACTATATCTTGCAATTGTCTAAATAAAACACTATTTACTTTCTTATCAGTGACGCTTTTAATTTTATAGATTAATCACTTTGTTAAAAAAACATTTAACTGAATGTTATCTTTTTATTGTTTTTTTATGTAAAGTTCAAGCGCTACCAACGATACGAGCCAATAAGGTCAATAAAGCTTCTCGAAAAACGCGTATGTGGTTATGGTGCTACTAGCTGTTGACCCACTCGAACTTATGATGAAAGGAAGTATAACCGACATCTTTAGGAAATGAAGGCATTGGAGCAAGTATCAAAATTCAGAATGCGGAAGTCAGGATTTAGAATCGACAAAGCGAGTGGCGTTCACCGCAATCGGCCGACTCGCCAACTCATCGTAGGGCAAGAGATAGGAAGACTGATTGCCACGAATTCATTAAATTTTAATCGCTTGACCTCGCAGAAGCTGACGGTCTACTCGACTGGGCGCTTGTTTTCAGGTATCTGCACGACAACCTGCTCCAAGAGATCGGAGAGCCGCCGTTTCTGGGTCTGCTGTCGTTGGAGCGGCTGTGAGCTTGAGTGCAAGCAATCAGAATTATGCACCTACATAAATATATATATACATATATATATATACGCCGCTGACGGACCTTGTGGTCGCTCAGCGAATATGAGACGTAATCAGGACGTCTGTTCGCATGCTTTCTTCCTTCGCAGGTTTCTCAACGACAACAGAATTCGAACTGTGCACAAGGGCGCCTTGCAGAACCTCAGACAACTTCGGCGCTTGTGAGTATCATTCCAGCGCAGAGCTACAAACTTAACACTTGAAACACGGAACCAAGCAAATGAGTTCTTTCGAAACGTATCTGACAAGAGCAACTATTACTATTCTTTTGTACTAATCCAGATTTTTTTTTTTATTTAAAGGCCGGGGACGACCGTTTTAATAATAACGTCTCCACCACTTGTTTACCGATCGATTATGGGGAAGGCAGTAGTCACAATCCCTGAGTTAATTTACCAAAAACCATCGTTAATTAACTTTTCTCCAAATGCCTAAGAACCTAACAGGTTATGTTGCACTCCACAGTTTCTGAAGGTCCTGCGTGACACAGGACAGAGCAAGAGAGAAAGAGGACAGCGCATTTGCTCGCGTGCTCTCGTCCGCTTGCCCGCGCTTCCTTCCTTGCCTCCGTCATCTGCTGCAACCGGTTCGATACCTAGATTTCCCGGCATGCCTTTCGGCGAAGTCGACGGCACTGCACGTTTTTCAACAGGCAAATCGCAGTTTGCAAGGCACTTGTTATTATATGCCAAACCAACTCATACAACTTGGAAGAGGGCAACGGTCTGTAGAGACCATAATTTATCTCGTTCCGAGGCCATTTTCTAAAACGAGACGAAGAAGGATTACCAAAAACAAGTAGGTACTCGCGTATGCTTACCGGCCGCAACGCCGCATCTCACCATTGAGGTTCAGTAGTGTACCGTTTCAGCTCAGGAACATCAAAAATGATGTTATAAGAACAGCTGAAAAAGCAATTCCCTTTCCTTTTTTGTTTCCCCTCAAAGGCGCCTGGACAACAACCCTCTCACCTGCGACTGCAGCCTGATGTGGTTTACCCAGATGCTCCAAGAGAAGCAGACCATTACGCAGGCTACAGGACACTGCAGCCTTCCGGCGTCTCTCGCTGGGAAACCGCTGACGTCGCTCGTCGAAAGTGACTTCGCCTGCGGTAACTGGTCCCACTTAGTAACATAAATATGATAGTATTCCGATGACTCGGAAATGGAGCTGGGCGCCGATTGAAAATCTCAAACGGATTAATCGCCACAATTTAATTGATTAATTAATCGGTTAGTCAGTTCTGTTCATTTCCGCAGATAATATCTTAAACTATATATATATATATTCCTATATATATATATATATATATATATATATATATATATATATATATATATATATATATATATATATATATATATATATATATATATATCAGGGTGTCGAACTGGAACCGAACCGAACCGAAAACCGGAACTGAACCGGTATTTTTTTCCGGAACTGAACCCGAACCCGAACCGTTATATTGTTATCCCGATGAACCCGAACCGGAACTGAACCGGAAAAAAATAACGGTTACCGGCTCATGTCAAAACGGTTCGGCCACGCGCTGTTGACAATGAATGTGCTATCAATGCCATTTGTTTTTTAAGTGCAGTCAACTGACACACACCTCGCTTACATATTTTTCTTCTCCACTCAGTCTTAGGAATATAAACGCTGCATCCATGAATCTTGAAAAACGCTGCATCCATGTATCTTGACATAGGAACCAGTATTGCGCTGGTCGCGGCTTGCACGGAAAAAAAAATTTAAAGGCTGTGCAAAAAAAAAAAAAAAAAATCGCGTCACGGGATTTCATTTTCCTACAATCTCGTAAATCCTAAATGTTGCTGTTTGCTCATTTCATAACACGTTTCTAGAACGGGCGAGTTCTTGAAGCTTGCTTCCATCGGAATGAGAAAAGAAAAGGCTGTGGAGTTTGATGATAATGCATCCGGTTTCGTATAGGCACTTAGAAGCTAACATATTTGTGCGACAGCGAACTCTTCTATTTTAATATTTATCCTATTACGTCGTTCTGGTGTTGCGTTCGGTGAAGTGTTTTTCATATTCCGTATCTTGTTTAATGAAAATTTCTTTAAGGGTCTAATTTGAGTTACCGAAGGCTAGTTCAAATAAAGAAAGCTGTATTTTCTCCCCACTGTTCCTTCAATTGCTTACACGCCGAGGTGGCGGGATAGTTAGCGAGTTCTACTTGTAAGTGGGTTTGTAAGGAGGTCGCGGATTTTACAGCTACTGCGTCGGACCCAATTAGATGAAGTCCGAATGCGTAAACGTCGGTGAGGTAACCTTTGAGTGCACATAGAGAAACCATTCCTGGTAGAAATCTCTGAGCCTTACACTACGATGTATCCCGTTTCGTATGTGCTGATTTCAGATGCTTTATTTGTAATTTATTTTGACGTTGCAATTTGTCATTTATAATTTCCGAACCGGTTCGCGAACCGGTTCGCGGATCGAATTAATCGAACCGGAACTGAAACGGAACAAAATAAATTTACCTGAACCTGAACCGTAACCGAACCCGTATTTTTTTCGGTTCGACACACTGATATATATATATATATATATGAATATCTCAATACCCCGCACAGACTTGAGGTGAACGAGACATGTGTAACCTTCTGCACTTGTCTGGAGTTACAGAAATTGCCCCTACAGTTCCCTTTAGCTGAAAATTTCACCCAGTTTCTCTTTATACTTGTGTTCTCTTTTTTGAGTGGTGAAAGCCTGTAATTTTTACATTATTTTGGTTCGTTAAAATGTTGCGTATTAACTGGCTCAAAAAATTGACCGCGATTAAAGAAATAATTGATTAATCGGTAGGTTAATCGATCAATCGCCCAGCCCTACTTCGAAAGTCACGCTCTACAGAGGAGCCTATGTATATACACTCTGAAAGGGAAGCTGAAGCAATCGATGAATTCGAGCAAACAGTAAAAGTTGTAATGTAAAGATGTATACCCCATAAAAGTTACGTGTATTAAGCCACTTTTCGATCTTATTATTAGGAGCGTCGTAATCAATTAAAATATCGATGTACACCCAACCGCTGCGGCGCGCCGAGAGTAGGAAAACCTGAGAGCGGAAAGAAAAGCTATCAAAAGTGACGTCATAAGCGGGGTCAGATGAGCCCTGCTCGCCACTAAGCTGGCTCGGGGATGCCGACGATTTTGTCACAACGTACCGGACAGATAACAGGCGGCAGAGAGGACGCCACATGCCCGGCGGTAATCGCTGCACATATTATTCTAAATAAATGCGTTACTCGTTTGTTTCTGCCCAGAAGAAACGTGATATCTGAATTTACGATACCAAAAGCGATATTTTCCCGCCCCTAACTCCGATTTCTTGAAAAGTGCTTCAGCTTTCCTTTAAGGCTTGTTCACGCACTTTCGTCTGGGAGCGCGCGACCGCGATACGACTCTGCATTACGCTGCAACCCGTTGCCCGGAATTGGAATATGGTGGGGACAGTGTGCAAGTAGCATTTTAGGGCTTCTGGTCCTGAAATAGACTAAACTTTCCCAACTTTTTGTGGCATAAACTTTACGACGCCCTTGGATACGGTCATTCATATCACCCGTGGAAGGAACCACATCCACACCACTCATGTAAAGAACCGCATCCTTCTCACTCGTGGAGTGAACCGCATCCCTCGTTTTAACTATACACACACGTATCCCAGCCCATTCACTGCTGCTACAGGAACCCTGAGCGAAGAAGAACCGTGGACGGCAGAGCGGCAGCTCAGCACGTCCGCACTCCACCGCACGGCGGCACAACACCTCTGAGATAACAAAGTCGTAGTGCTGATTGAGATGGCGTCATCGGAGAAGGACAACGCTGGGAACAAATTGGACACGACGATTGCGTCAACGTTCGGCTCAAACTTGACTCGAAGCCGAGCGATAACGCAGCACTCGTTTCCAATCTGTGTCCAGTGTTTGCCTTCTCTGACTAAGCCATCTCATTCAGGGCTACGAATTTGTTATCTGCGAGGTGTTGCGCGTCGCCTCCTCCTTTCTGGCTCCGCGCCATCTGTGCGCGTGACTTTGCCGAAAACGAAAGGGCTCGTTTCGACAAAAACCCGGCAGTGTCTGTCAGTTTGTCAGCTCCGTAAAGAGAGGGAGAGGTGGACGGGCGCGTGCTCGCGTCAGCGCTTCAGACCAATGGGAGCGTCGCACGCAACAACGGACAAACGAAAGACGCCGTAGGATTTTCGTCAAAATGAAGGTTCTAATGCTAACGCTTTAAAAAAAAAAAAAATTAAGCCACCTCGGTGGTTTTGGTACCGACCGCTGTCCTAGGGATCCGAGGAGGGGAATTTGAATCCAGGCAGTGACGAAGACAACCTGAAGGAGCCTTGTTTGAGGAAAAAAAACCTCGTGGAATTAAAATTTCAACTGGGCATAAAGAAAAAAAAAAGAAAGGAAGACGAGTTGTCGAATTGTTTCTGCTGGGGTGTGCCAGATGCCCTTCGTTCGTCTGGAACGATACCACCCTCAGATTAGAAGTTTGAAGCTTGATGCGCAAAAATTGTGAAATATATACACACACCGCAAGGATTCAAAAGTTACCTGGTGGATGGCGTCAGTGTACCGGGGCGTTCGAGTCTAGATTGAAGGAAGGGTCCATCTTTAGCCATGGGGAGGATTTGATATTTAACGGCGGACGCCTCCTTTGAAGATTGGTCGCAAGTGCGCATGCGCTGCGTTGTCGTCTGCCCAGAACGAAAGCAGGCTAAAAGGCGTTTGCAGACGATGAACCTTTTCGGCACCTTCTGGTAGCTCGCATTGCCAAACGTAGCCCATAAACTACCAAGCCCCGATCGAGCAGTTCGGAACTCTTTGTAATACGGCTCTCCAGTGTTCTTAAAACTCAGACACAAATGTGTGAACGAGCTGCCTTAAATAGAAACTAAGTCAAAATAGGCAAGTCACACTGGCTTATTGAAACATCAGTTATTGAAAGAAAAAAAAAATGTCAAGGCTGGGGAAGTTGAGTTCTATCTTCAGTACCGCGGTGGGTTTGAGCGAGAGTCCTGGCGGGATGCATTTGAGAAAACGCTATTTTCCAGCAAGCTGAGTATACATGCTCGGAACTCTAGCCTCAACCCCTGGGAAATGCACTGTTGGGGCATGTTTTGCGCATGCGCGAGCAACTTGCGTAGGAGTGATTTTTTTTGTGTGTGTGGAAACGTTTGGCAAGTCAATCCGCGAAGCACGAGGGAAGACGGGCGGATTACGATGAGAGAAAGACACGTTTTGACCTTAATAAAGACTGTAGTGAAAAACTGCCTACACCCGTCCATTTTTATGTAGGACACTGTTAGATCAAATCACATCTACCAATGTAGAAAGATATAGTATACATATATATATATGTTCATTTTAGTTTAAAAATAATTTACTTAATTTAAGTACGATATATTTTATTTCAATCAAATTAATTTGGTTTAAATTACTGTAACTAGAAAAATATTCATTATTTGCAACTACAGGCATTTTAGACACGGCAGATACATTCCTAATCGTTCCTATTAGTAATAACATTAGAGAAAAATTACGGTAAATCTAAGTACAGTTTAATTAACAACATTATGTTGTTCTAATTCTCCCCGAACTAAAAAAGAACTTGACTGTTTTAATTTAAAGTATTTATTTGATTCTTCTTTCGGCTTCGGGCTTGATCGCAATATAATAATAATTTCCTGGTTTTGGATTTTCTTTTTTTTGTGTGTGTGTGTGTGTTCACACTCAGATCCGACAGGACGTTACGTAGCTGAAGAAAAAGTAGGAGGCAGAAATCAAGCTCAACGCTCTGATTTGCTCAGAAGAGCAGCCCGTTTTATTCGCGTTCAGCCTTATTAAAAGGTTTCTTGGCTTTGTATTTTTTTTATTTAAATAATATACAAATACTCATAGAAACTACAAAATTAGAAACTAACGGAAATAATAAGTATTTTGCAGGTTATTTTGCGTGAAATTTCTGATTTGAATCATGGTTGTAAAACCGGTCTGATTGAAAATACAATTCAAATCAAGATTTAAATGAAGGTTTCAGTCAGCTTGATTTTTATTCTACACACTTATTTCCTCTCTACTTAGGGCAGTGAGAAGTTTTAGTGAAGTTCGAAGGCGGAGACAACGTCTTAACCTTTCTTCGATGTGCAGTTCACGCACTTTGCATGCTCGCGGAATACATTAGTGCCTCTCTCTTCCCAGACTTCATTTCTTTAGACGTTTATATTACTAGTTCCTCTTACACCGAGCTTCCTTTGCATGTTACAGTGATTGCCTCTTAGAGTTTCTTTGCAGAGAACATGACGCACAGATTTTTGTTTTAAGAGTGCTTCACAGTTTAAGTGAAAACGAGTTGTAGGATTTACCCGAACTTTCGATGTGCGTGACATTGCAAAGTTTCACCAGCCCCATACGGAGGCCGTAATTAAAGCGTCATAAACTGTGCATACCCTAACGTATCAAGGCCCTTCTTCTTAGAAAGAAAGGGAGAAGAAAATCTTGCCTGGGATACCATCGAATGAAGCATGTCAATGCTATAGCATAAGCATCAATACAACACAAAAGAGAAAGGGAACAAACCGGATTTGAATTTAACATTAGGAATTAAAACTCAGACCTTACCAACTCCTCAACCTCATACATAAAACGTAATCGATATAAACAATAATTATATTTATACTAAACACGACAGTACGGTTGTAAAAACTCCGAATAAACCCCGACCTTGGTTTATACAAAACGGCAGAAAATATAGTACGTTCACACCAAAATAATAAAACACTCAGATGAACAAAGCACGTATACCCGCAGGTCAGCATGCGTTTTCTAACTAAAATGTTGCAAATAATTTTTTAATATGATTGTTCTGGTTTGTTGTTTTCAAACTTTTTATAAACCTTATTTTCTGTCTGAATGCCCTATATACTACCCCCTTATGCGATCCAACTCGGGACCCTTAAGGTATATAAATGAAATGAAATCCAATCAACTGTCAGTGGCTGTCTTTCGTGGATTTCAGCGCTTTATTATTTCTGTGTGAACTGTATTCTGTGCAACGCGCTGTCTATACGTATAGAAAATTTTACAGTTTAGAACATTCCTTTGTATAAATATTTTTTATTGAATTGTTTTTGTTTTGTTTTCTTGCATGCGTTGTTATGTTGTGTGTGCAGAACGGCCCAGCCTGACGGAAGAGCCCTATGACGTGGAAGCTGCTTTTGGTGTCAAGATAAACTTCAGCTGCAAGGCCGAGGGCGAGCCACGACCAAGCATTACATGGCAACACGATGGGTGCGTTTCCTGCAACTAATTCCCTCCTCTTTCAGCAAACCTTACCTTGTCGGCACTTTTTTTGAGCCTCGTATGTCTCCAGGCGGGAGCGAGCTCCAGTAGCCGAATTTCAGGAGTGGCAATATACGGGCCAACGCACTGCTCACGAACTAGTCAGCGTTTGCCAACATTCGGTGTGTGGGTGCATTGCCCGTAACCAGATTACCTCGGGAGCAAAGCTTTCGCGCATGCGCAGTGACGACAGCAGCGCCACTGCAGTGCAGTGACGTCAAAGAGTTCAGTTGGTGTACACCAGACATGTACAAGTTACTCAAAAAAAGTAATTAAGTTAAGTTACTGAGTATTGACCTTAAAAGTAATTTGAGTAGAGTAGAAATTACTCGAATAAAAAGTAATTGAGAAAATTACTAAGTACCGTAAAAAAGTATCTAATTACTTTTGAAGTTACTCTAAAGTCATATATTATGTTTTTTTATGGCAAAAAGAAAGTACATAGGCTTTGATCCACTAGCGAAATTGTGCTAGCCAGATATGGATTTGATTGTTTTTTTTTTTTTGTTTTTTGTTTTCAAAGAAATGCTTTAATAGTTGTTTCTGCTTCTGCGTGCCTAATTGTTTTGTACTTTCTTGTTTGTTTGGTCAATGAAGAACTGCAAATGTGTCATTTCTACTTTGAGGTTTAGCACTGCCTGAGCTTCATTTTTAGACAGTTTGCTTGTTTACAGTGTTGCGTAAAGCACACCTAAAAGTACTTGAAGTAAAGTACAAAGTAAATTAGAGGTTGTGTACTTCAAGTGAAGTAGTGAGTACACCGGTTGCAATGTACTTGAAGTAACGTACTATAAATACAATATATTTCAAGGTAAAGTGCCAGTACTTTTAATAGAATTATTCATGACGCCCTTTCATTCCCTATACAGTGGTTTTTTTTTTTTTTTGAACTTGTACGCATTGCTCCAGAGGTAATCCGAGGTGCATCAGTATTTTACGGAAATGGCAGCAAATATTGCATAAAGTCAAGTCGCCACAGAGTAGGTGTTTTACTCTCTCTGACGAGCTATTTGACACAATCAATTTGTAAGCCACTTATTTGTGTCGGTCTTATAGCCGCCATTACTTCACTCAAAGAAATGACCAGATCACGTTCTGAAAAAGGGGGTTTTCATACGACGATACGCCATTGTTTTGTTTGCAAATTCGGGGAATGTACATTGAAGTCGGAAGTTTTACTTTCCTCGGAAAGTACAAGTACATGCCCAGAGAATCTTCATCAAGTAACGTACAAGTTTTCTAAACAGTAGTACTTTAAGTACCATGTAATAAGAGCATTTCCCAACAGCGCGTGTTTATTATTTTTTCATATAAAAACGTTGGGGGAATTATTCAGATTTCTCGAACGATCTTCAGATATTTAAAGATCTGCATATTCTATGTTTTGGGAGGAAAGGCAACGGCAAAAAGGTCTCCTTTTTGCGTTGCCTTTGCTTAGGGCTAGTCAAGCTTCCTGTTGAAGCTTTTTCCCTTCTGCTCCACCATTCTTTTAAATGGGAATAAAGATTATTCTTAATATTATTTGCGTTGGCCTTTAACATGTGATTCTTCGAGTACAGTACAAACTGCGGGAGCACCAGATGAGCTTCAGAGCAGGTGCTGCATTTTGTTGCCTCCTTTGAGTGAGGATGCAGTGTGTGCACCTTCGGTAGTAGGCGAGAGTTTCTACATTGGGGAGAAGCGGGAACCAGCCCTTTCTTCGAATGGGTCAAGTCTCCTTGAGCTTCGGGACACAAAGAAGCGCTAGTCTTCGACGCTGATCCCGCAGTTACTCGGCCTCTCTTGCGTCGTGCCTGTTCGCTCCCCGCGCTTCGTAACGGTGTTGTTGCAGTGGGGTGGCTCGGGAAAAGTTTGGGAAGTTTTGGACTCTCCAACCCATTTTCTCCCCCCCCCCTCCTTTTCCTATGCCACATGCTTCCCCCTCTTTGCAAATATCAGCTGATCTTTCTACATATCATCTCTTTCGTGCAGAAATGTTTTGTTGATGGGCAGAACAACCACTAAAATTCTAAAGTAATTTGTAATTTGAGAAATTCGAGTAGAAGTTACTTGGAAAGAGTAACTAAAGTAAAATACTGCTTACCGAAATAAAAATGTAATTGGAAGTTACTAAACTACTCAGAAAAGTAGTTAAATTACAGTAACTTGAGTAGAGTAGTTGAACTACGTACTAGTCTGGTGTACACTAAAGTTACTGTACTCCAGCAGAAGTCACTATGGTTACTACAGTCAGCGAAAACCTAAGCGAGGCAGGGCGTGTTGAGCCTCAATATGGCTCGGCTGCGAGTATGACTGTGGCATCAAAGGGGCTAGGACAGGCCCAGACTAAAATATAAGATAACTATATTCTGGGACCGATTGCATGTTCCTATATTTCTGCTAAACTTGTTTTTGAAAATGGCACTGTAGTTTCGTGCAAGAAGCGATTCATATGCGGGACACTCGGGCCCGCCCCATTCAAAGAGGCCTCCGTGGTTTGCAACCTGGCGACGTCGCCCGCCCATCATGCGGCGTCCTCTTGCACGCACACACAGACTTGGCTCCCTTGACGTCTCGAGCTTCAGCTTCCTCGCATAACTTTCGCGATTCTAGCATGCGGTTCTTGACGATTGTATTGTCGGCATCGCTCACTTCGGTGAAGTCTTCGACGGTAAATTTTTTTACAAAAGTTAATGGGGAAATTAATCTACCCATAGTGACGTCACCAGTGACCCTCATGACGTCACACGTGACGTCATTGTGGGAAAGGTCCCATAATACACCGCGAGGTTACGCCGACGGTAGCGCCGACGCCGTTCAAACCGGAAACGGGCGCCTAAGAGCTGCGAACTAAAAAATGTAGATTAGGTAACCTTCTGTTCTTAGTACGTTTTATACAAGCACGTGCTGGTAAACTCTTACGAAATTGAAAGTGGAGAGGGGAGGGGAGGGGGGGGGGGGTCAAACCGGGTCATAAAAACGCGGTACACAGGAAACAAGGCACTCCCACAGCTCGACAGTCAAAACATCGTAAAACGCGTTTCCATTCTAATTCTTCTGGTACCTTGGTATCTTTCTTTTTAGTTGTTAAGGAGTAAAAATAAGTTTTCAACGTTGCTGCAACATAGAAGAGTGACGCACCGCAGACAGAGCGATTTTTTACGCAAAAATCTCAACTCAATCATTTTAGCTCTTTTGGAAGCATATAATTGACTATAAAAATAGTAATTGAATTACAGCGAACGTTACTGCAAGAAAAAAGTAGTTAAACCGTTAAAAAGTTGCAATAAAATGTAATTGATTGGAAGCAAACACTTACTTATAACTCGTCACATACATGTCTGGTAGCCTATGAGCTTTTCATTTCAAGAATAATCTACACCCTTTAAAGACCGACGACCTGTTCGCGTTCTTCTACTCTTCTCCCATTATCTCCTCTCCCTCCTTCTACCCCGTCCACCGTTGCCTGCTTCCTTCTCCCCCAGGGCGAGAAGGAATTTCGGCCTTGCAAAAGCTCGTGTCTGGTCGTCGACCTTTAAGAAGGCTGGACAAGGAATCGCGAAGCAAGAGCCTAGGACCTAATGAGCCACACACTGCGTTTCTTAAAGGCCGAAGTAGAACCGCGGTTTTCTGCAGGCAAGATAATCCTCTCAGTGCTCCCCTCTCGTGAGCCGCGAAGGCTTAGGAGAGGGGAAAGGATATAGGAAAGGAGGAGGTGGCGAAATTGGAAAGAGAGAAGTGTACGTCGGCCTTTAGGAGATAGGTGACTATAATCGTTTTGACAATAAGCGCCGCACGACAGGGACAGAAAGTATGAGACACAACAAAAAGTGGTTATAATCTCTTTCATCTGGAAAGGACTATAGTTTTCAACTTTCCAAATTAGGTAAGTTATGCTGCCAAATTAATTCATTTGAACTTTACACCAAAGTGTGCCATACTTGGTGCGCTGAGTTCGCGGTCAATGGCCGCCTGGTTCCCGTCGCGTCTCATTAATGTGACACGCTTGACGTATTTGGACGCTTTTTTCTCGATCTGTCGTTCCTAGTTAAAACTACTCTCGCTATCTCGGTTCCTCTTTTTTCCAACGACTTTAGTACCCTCAGCTCCTCTTCTACTGTCACTTCCGCGTTTTGGGTTCGGAGGAAGTTGGGGTGCGTGGGATGAGGCAACGTAATCTCTGAGGCGATCGAGAACGCTTCAGAGCGGACAACGAAAGTCGTGAGCCCGGTCTAACGATGTTTGCCCCTATTATAATTCAAATTACATTTTAGTTCACAGTCAGGGTGTGATGTTTGGTAAAACAGTGGCATATGCCTCATTTTTTCACTCGAGAAAAATGGAAATAATAGCGCAGAGTTTGGCGGTTCAGTACCTTTGTGTGTTTAAAGACTTCATATAAATTGAAAACTGACAACGGCGTTGTTTATTTGTTGTTGCTGTTTTTAGAAAAAAAACTGCGGCGAAAGGATGTGCACGGAGTGCTTTATTTTTATGAGAAATAAGTCGCAGCTGTTTAATTATTTCTGCGTGAAAATTGTATAAAAAATTACATAAAGAGACAATTGAACATTTGTGTAAATTTGTCACCAATATATTTTTTATGAAAGTACATGTTTTAAAGATGTGCCACTCACTGACACACCCACAATGCGATATATATCTCACGATCAAAAATCTTGAAGCCTGCTCAAATGGAATGTTAAAAAGAATGGTTTTATACTGGAAATAGTACGCTACCAAGAGCGAGTTTTCTATCAATATTCGCTTTTAAATTGCCAAAAGTAACAAAATGGCTTGAAGTCAACAGCCTTCACAAATTTCTGTTGACTAATGAAATCTAGAGTTGGTGTTGCTCTCTAAAGTAGAATGCCTGCTACACATTTAGATTGTGCCTTTTTTTTACAAATGATACATTATGTTTGACATCACAACTATGGGAATAATGGTCTACCCTACGCGACAAACAA